TGGATAATTTCATGTAAACATGACGTTATCTGTATATTAATGTGTGATAAACAGCAGAATATTACTTTTTCCCCCCTCCTGTTCCTCAGATTTGTGAAGAAATTCAACAAGCAATTACAGAAAGAAAGATTTATCTTGTAGAAATTTTTGTTAATTAGCCCAACTTGCATTTCCTTCTTTGCTACAACCCCGTAAAATCAAAAGCAATTTGAACGTAGCTCCTCTCTCAAACAGATGACTGTAATTCTGCAGCAGACTTCTCTTTTCACTGTCTAATTTGAAGAATCTGCAGTCTCGCTGACTTCACAGGCCGAGATGGCCTTCACTGTGATTGGTTAGAAAAAACACTCGGCAGAGAGGAGAGCTGGCCAATGGCAGAGCTGCAAGCCAAAGGTAACAGGCTTATCACCAAGTGAGGACTTATCAACCACTTGAGGCCAGAAACTGATGAACCAGTCAGGATACCTGTGAAGGCAAAGAATTTCCATCGAGGGCTACAAAGCAGCTTTTCTAACCCTGTTTAGATAACAATCCTGGCTTTACCGTGTGGCACATTAACTGCATGGTTCAAGATTGAGCTCAGGCTCTCAATTTTTTTTTCTTTTTTTTTTATCCGTTGCACAAAATGTCATGGGCAACAGAGCTGGGGATTTCTTAGAATTTTGCACCACCTGCAGCCTCAGAAAGGTGAGGTCAGCCTGTTTGGATGTGACATGCGTAGTGGGCACCAGTCCTGCCTGCCCACAGGGCAGGGCTTTAAAACAACCAGCATGCCAACGACGCGAGGAGCCGAAAAGCTTTTACGAAAGCAGGAGTTTGGTGAAAGGAAAAAGAGTTGTTTTCCAGTGCGTTCAACACATCACAATAATCCCACACGGTCACTTTGGGAAGCAATGGTCGTTGCAACAGTAGGCCGGCAACGTCCAAGAGGCATAACAACCCACACAAAAACGATTAACATATGAACTGAGCACAGAATTGACCTTCCCTGTAACACACATGTTGGAGAAAACAGATATGAATGCTACATTGCATTTGACATTTATTATCTTTTTTCGTTTTTCAAAACGATTAATGCATCGATTTTTCCTCCAAATCTGGCGTCTTATCAGAAAACGCCATAAAAGTCTTTTTTTGTTTTGTTCTTTGTCATTCTTTAATTTTTGTGGGGGTTGTATTTTCAAAAACAGCTGCAAAACTTAATACATTTCTTAGCACATTTATTGGGTTGGGACTGGCTAAACATACATTAACTGTTAGCTGTTTTGCTGGTTTGTCACTGGTCAAAACCTTATTGAGGCTGAACTAAACCTTTGGCTCCTCCTCCTCCATCCAGGCTACCCCTATTGGCCAGTCAGCCAATACTTATTGTATCCTGGAAAACCTAAGAATGGAAGGCCAGTATGCTAAAATGAATAAATGTCAGTTTAGTAGTCAGTTTTGTGCTCCTCATTTTTGATCGCACATGTGGGACGACCAGCATCATTTTCTTCTAAGATGGCAACAGACAGCCTGTTAACAGATTCCCATTCTCTGAATGAGGGAAGAGTATCCGAGCCCCGCCACGGCCGAGGCAAACTGAAGAGTTTCCACGTGGTGAAATCTTCGAAATGTAAGATTTTGAGTAACATGACTTTGCAGAGGATTAACCGCTGGAGTGGGACTTTTAGAGAAGTGGAACACACAGCAGCTTAAAAGCCAGATAGTGTTCTGGGGACTGGGTGGAGACTGAGAGCAACGTTTAACCGACTTCAGAGTCCCAGATTTGTATGACACTAGTTTCTCTTTGAGCTTGAAAAGCTGGGAGTCAGGGTATTAAATATATCCTTTGAAATGAGAATAGAATGAAAAGCGGGTGCTGATTTTTTAACCTGCACTGCACACCTGAATCACTCCTTTTAAAAGCGAACATATTTCATACTCTGCGTGGCATTTTCTGCCATTATTCTCATCATTTAGGTCTCCTTCAAATGTTGCCTTTTTTTTTAATACTTCTTGATTCCATTCTCCAAAAGTAAAGATGCAGATCTTTCCTGTGTGTTGAAAGCACACCTGTCATGTGTTTCAGTCATTGATTTGTTGATTGAATCATGTTCCATTTCAGCTCTACTGTTGTGTGAATTTGACACAGACAAAGCCACCTCCCACTGAGGTGCTCTCAACCTCTCCGTCTTTCATTCCTTCGCCTCTCCGCCTCCTCGGGGGTTCAGGTTAAATTCAAACTTTGACTTAGTCGTCAGACTGGAATTAATGCGGGTTCAGTTCGCCGTATCGGTAATGTGGCTGTCAGCCCATTTTGCAGCAAAGCCTTTCTGTGTAGAGCTTTTAGGTTGAAAAAGAGGCCCCGAGCTTAAAGAAATAAAACATATAAGGCATTAGAAACAGAAAACTCAAGCTCAGTGCTGACAGACCGAGCAAGGAAATCCTGAACCGCCTCCCCCCTGCAGCTGTGGCAACATCTGGGTCGGCTGCAAGTGGTCCTTCCACAGATGGACCGCTGCTCCATCTCCCCAACTCCATTTTCAAATGGAAATATCTTGAACTTTCCAAACAGAGATCCGCTAATATGGCCTTGATGAATGTGAAGTGCCACATTTTCAGAAACTCACAGAACGCTGATTTTATTAAAGAGAAAATTACATGTTTCACCAAGGAGTGTTTGTTCATGAATGGTCCAAATGGGCACATATTTACTCAAATCCTCTTTTAATGGCAATGCAATTACTTTGGGTAGAAAATAAAACAGAAAGCTGTCCCGGCTGATCGTTTTTCTCATTAGAAGGGGTTAGAGGTCATGGAAAACACAGCGGAAGGCACTGAGACATTAAGAAAATGTGACAAGTAGAGTTAGGGGTGATATATTCAGATAAAAACACACCTTTTTCAGAGCCTCCTGGGAGATATGGATGAATCATTTGTTAGAATTAGTTCCAAGCAGTTTCCACTCCCACTTTCTTTGAGTTACTGAGTTATCGAGCTCCAGTATCAAACGATAGAAAATATTATGCAGCGACTTGGCTGCTTAGTAACTTCATACTCCAGCAGTAGTGCTCTTTCTTGACCCTTTAAATCTTCTGACACCTCATTTAAAGAGGGTCCACAGTTTTAAATTTCCACCCAAACAAGCTAAAAATGATTTTTGGGTGGGCTGTCTCGTAAAGGTGTGGATAATGGATATTCTCTGCAAAGTTCCTCCTCAAATCCTTTCTGTTCTGCTGATATTTGTCTTTCTTTTCTGGTGTGTTTTCGCCTGGATGGAGATTGATCCAGCTGTCTTCGGAGCTGGCACGCTCAGACTGCACAGTTACAAATGTCTGGGCCGCATTCTCAACCTGCCTGCGTCTGTCTGCCTCCTCCATCACTTTGTATTTTCACAGTTCTCCTCATTTCTTTCTCTCACTCTTTGTCAATTCCCCGGGTCTTCTCCCTCGTCCACATTCTTTTCGGCTTTTGCTCCTCTGCCCTCTCGACCTCCTCCCTCTTGCTGTCTCTTTTCACTTTCGCATCACTGTCACCTCGGCTCCCGTGCCCTGGGCATTGTACTTTGCTATCTATAGGGGGGGAAATTGAGATGCTCGGGTGGAGGTCAGAAGCAGAAGTAGAGAAGAAAATGTGAAGAATAAAGGGGAAAGAAGTGTGAAGAAAAAAGGAGAGCCTCAGACTGGCTGCGCTTCCAAAAGTGATGGAGGACCTTCTGACTTGTGGCGCTCGGAGCCTGCAGGCAGACTTTTTTCTCTCGGGTCAAACCAGCTGTAAAAGAAATGCTTAAATCCTTCAGGGACCCCAGGTGTCTGCCACCACACATCGCTCAGCAGAGGGTTTGAAGTTTCGTCTTGAGGAACTCCAGCCAGGAAGGCCAAACAATTCCCAGTGTGGATTCTCCTTTGAATCCAGGAGTACATCCATCCTTCCTTCCTCCTGAAGCTCCCTTAAGAGGTTGCATGGCTGTTGTAGTTGATGTGCCACATGTGTTTTGGTTAGTTTTGCTTCAGCTGCTGCAGGCTTACATGATTGCTCACATAGAGAGATTCCAATATGTAATGGCTGCTAGGGTGTTTGCCAACTCCCTGCTTACGCACCAAATAATGGATGCTGTGATTATTGGGGGGACAGAAATGTATATTAATGTCGGCTGAAAGCTATTTAGGCAGCGTCCTCACAGACAATCCCAGCTGCCCGCAACTGTTTTGGGCGAGTTAAAGGTTCAATTTCAGCATCTATTTTGCCTCCGAATTTCAGATGGAGGACGATGTTTGTCTGTTCAGATCTACATTCACGCATTTATCCATAATCTCTCGGCAGTGGATTGGATTCTGTGTCATGAAGACCTCTGGATCCCATTACCATAGTGTAAGAAAAGGTTTCTATGTTTCATATTTTCAGGATTTAGTAGAAAAATCAGTATATATTCCATCTATGATACTAAGTTAAAAAAAATATATATATATGTATATATATATATGATTGTGTTATACTTGAGTGTTTTTTATATGAATGCTTCAAATTCTTCACTGATTGTTTTCAAGCAGATGCAATAAAAAATCTCTGCAACCTTATTCCCATTTTAATTATATAAAACCCATAATTCATAATCATGAGAGCATTGCTTTCCAGCAGATGTTAGTCATAGCTTTTAGCCATTTTTGATAGGTAACCAGTAATGAAAACCAGATTGGTTTTTTGCTATTTCCTGTCGGTGCACTTTGATAAAAGTACATCGTAAGAATTCATAACAGCCGGCAGCACAAGTGAAGTCAAATAAAGATGGCTAGTAAATCTGACTCGTCAGTAATATTTTCAATGTTTGAAGTTACTACTAGTTGATACTCAGTGTCAAAGTTCACAATCAAGGCGATTTCAGCTTTTTAAAAGCACATCACACCCCTAGAGAAAACAAAAGAAACAGCACACTGACCCACAGCTGACTGCTAAAACCCCAAAGTGGAAGCACCGGAACCGATTAAAGCACATCTGGTGGTAGAGAGGGGCGCAGATGGAGACTGTCAGCGGGCAGTCCGGCTGTGGGCACCGCGGCTAAAGCAGAGAGCAAGACCAAAATAAAGCACGATGTCCCTGAGAACGGCTGCTCGCACCAGCACGGTGGTAAAGACCTTCATATCCCATTCGAAAAGGATGTCGAGAGCCCTGTTGTGTGTCCCTAATGTCCACTGATGAGCTTGAAGGGAAACACCAGGCCCCTTTTTTTTTCATCTTCATGGTTTATTCAATTTGACAGACAAATTGCATATTCGGATACCCTTTTAGTGCAGGTTTGATTATTTCAGACCAACTCAGAGTGTGTTCTCAGAGAGAGAAAAATAGCATTTTAAAGCATCTCATAGTACATTTCTAGGTCAAATCCTCCACCTTTAACATGGAAATGTTCTTTCTGCCTGACATTGTCTGCTCTCGTGTTGTTTTGAGGGAGTTTTGACCCGCTCTTTCTTTCTTGAGGTCCGCAGCGCTCACTCTGAATGTATGCCGTGCCGTTATAGATCTGCCGCTGTGATTCGGATTGCTGTTGTGTTGCACGACCACGTCAGACGCTCATGACTTACTCAGTGACGGGATCACAGGACTGACCGCAGCTGTGAGGTGTTTGAGTTGATATTCTGTGCTCCCCGGCCAAACTTCTCCACTTTGCTCGGCCCGTTGTTCCAGAAGTCCAGAGTTTTGCTCGGATGCAGCATTGCAGAGCCGAGAAAAGACGCTCTCTCCTGCAGCCCAAACAAACCAGCCATGTTTGTTCAGCCCTTCTTGAACTGGACTATCCTGACCTTTGACCTTTGACCCGTTAACTGGACGTTTTTCACTTGTTAAACAGCTGGGATCTCTAAGATCAATGCTCATTTATTTTTCATCTTTGCTTGGCGTTAACACACCTGAATGCTCCTGATAAGCAAAAGGGTGTTTTACAAAGCTGCTCACAGTTTCTGGTGATGAATTAGTACATTTGATTAGCAGCACCTGGCTGCTTCTTATCTTCCCCTTTCCTGTTGACGCCACAAAAAGCCGATTTTACGCACAACGCTTCTGCATGTTGGTTTAGCTTAAGTAAAAAAAAAAAAATTGACATGTATCATAACATATAATGTATCGATATCTGCCCTTTTTCCTGACTTGGTCATTCCAGTTGATATCCTTTTTCCTTTTTATTAGCCAATGACTGCTTAGAAAAGCTCCAGACACAGGAAATGGATGGATGGATCAAACTGGATCAAGGGGTTTGATTTGTTATTTACAACCGAACAACATGGCTGATGAGATGCTACAGTTGATTTTTCTTAAACCCGTTCTTGGTTTGAGAGTCATGCTAAAGTACGGCTGTAGTATGTCAGTCTTGTTTGGGTTGTGGAGATTTTCCTCGGTATGAAACTGTTTTTGGAGCATGTGCGGTGGTTTCATTAAGGTGCTTTGATGTACTTTCTCTCCAGATACTTTAAGGGTGGAGGTTTCATTAGAAAACATCAAAGGGCTCTTGCTTTCTGCCTTGCACCATATCTTGTCTGCACCGGAGCTCTTTGTCATTGTCTTCTTTGTGTTTTTCTGTATCAGACGTGTGGGCAAGAATTTGTCCAACGCTGTTTGTTTGCTTTCAGCTTTTCCGTTGAGTCTTTTTTTTTCACCGTATCTTTTAGCTTCCCACGCTGTCATAAAAAAAAAGAAGGCAGCGGAAGATGACGAAGCATTTTAACAATATTTTCTCTATCTCGTCTCTCGCACGTTGCCCCTCCTCCTCTCGTCTTTGTTTCCTTCTCCCACCTCGTGCTATGGTTTCTTCCTGAGACGTGTACCCTGTGGTGCAGGTCTGGCCTCTGCTGACAGACCTCAGATTACTTTTCGTCTGTTTATCCATTTTGTCTGTGCTTTTCCTCCTCCTGCTAATATTTTCTCAAGGACAGAAACAGGCAAAGACATTTGTTTTGAATCAGAAATTTTGTTTCGAGAGCATAAATGCAGTCAAATGAGTTATTTTGGCTGGATCGTTTATCAAAATCAGACACAAACAATCTTTTAGGGGTCAAAGCTTTTTTGTGGGGCGACGTCAGCCTCGATTTATTATGCACTCCATTTAGGGTCAGTTGCACAATGTCAGCGAGGATTATGGTTAGCAGCTAACTCTATCCAATGAGCAGTGAACCTCCGATATACATGCTTATTTCTCAGCATGGAGAATTAGCTGATTTTGGAAGCACAGACCGCCTGGTTTAGTTAGCCGTGTCTTTAGCATCTTGGATCCATTTCGAAGCGCTACGGGGCAAGAGTTGCTAAGCACCACAATCTGTCAACATCAGCGCTGTGAAATCAGCCAGGGGTCACAAACACAATGGCCAGATGATGAGCTATAAAAGTCAAACTGTTGGTGCTTATCCCTCAGGAAACAGCTTTGCATGATGCCGCTGTTTAAGTCCAGCTCCAAACTGCTATGGCCTATGACCTTTTCACGAAATTCAGGAAAACCTTTTTTATTCCTGTTATTCCTTGCAGATGGCATCAGATGGCTCGGACTAGTTAATGGTTCAAGTTTATCTCTAATTTGAAAATTAGAATGTAAAACAGTTCACAGGGGTGGAGGGAATTTTCTCCCTTTTGCCACATGCTGCTTGGTCTCTCATGGATGAAATGGCTTGGCATGCTTTATTCCCCACAAACAGTCACCAATGGCAAAAAACTAAACTAAACTCGCTGGAGACACGTAAACCCATCAGCACGTCTTCCAATGAAAGCAACAGCTGTGTTTAACTCTTTC